CAGTTCCAATAGGGTCTTCGCACCCTTTTGGGTGCTCGGACCCTAATAATCACCTTTGCCTTCATTTGTTAAAGTGGTTTAAATTGTTGATGTCTTAGCTGAAAAAGGGTAATTTGTTAATTTTGTGACCAAAAAAAAAGTAACTGAAGAGGAAGCATGGTAAAATGTGCAACTTTAAACAAAGCTAACCAGTAGCACAGAGTCTCCATAGTAAAGGTTCCCTCTCCAGTCAGTGACTGAACCCTTTCCTGCCTTATCGTCTGGATCAGTGAAGTTCATGCTTCTTCCTACATCCCTCACTGTAGCTTGAGCACACCAGCTTACAAGTGACTCCACCCAAACACTGTCAAACTACTCTATGCTGCTCTATTGCAATTAGTAATACTCGCATAATTTAGCTGTACACTTTCAAACTGGAAACCAATACTGAGAAAGGACAATAATACAGAAAGCTCCACCTTCAAGTTGACAGGATTTCTTTGTTACATATGAAACCCCAGAGGTCCTAATCCATGTTTTTTAGGCATTGGGACCACAGACTGTATTTAAAAGATGGATGTAATCCCTGGGATGCCACCTCGCCTGTTGGTTTGTTGACTACAGTTTTAAAGCCCTGAGTTTGGAATTTGACCATCACCATCTTGCTTTTTTGAATTCACACATAATGACTGCAGGGTGGACCTAATACAGGTATCAATCCTAAAATAGCCCCACTCTGAAACACAACTTTTCCATCTATTATACCCTAAACAGGAGCATCATTTACAAAATGAACACCATGCTGTATCTAGAGACTCTTTAAACCATTTATTGAGACCACTAACTCATTTGAAAAATGTTTACTGATAAAAGATCTGTAAAAGATCATGGAATAAGTAGTCTTTTTTTTTTTTTGGTGGACATTTGTACAATCGGACTTCTGTTTGCAGTCAAAGGAGTCACCCCCTACTGGAAGTTGAAAGGAATGCAGAATGCAGATCTAATTCACTTCATCATTGACTTCGCTTTTCAGTACTGTATGAGTTCGTCTTATGAAAGCGTGTCGTGTTAAATCATGTTTACTCAAAAATCCTAAATTATTAGATTAAAGCTTTAAGGGTCGTCTTTGTCAGCTTCAGTGCAAAGCTCTTCCTGGTTTGCTGATAACTGTACAGTTGTCCTCAAACGTATTCATATCCTCCCATTAAAGAAGGAAAAAGAAACAGCTGTTACTGAAATAAGTTGAAATTGATGAAGGTTATAATAAATAAAAATTCAATGAAAATCATGACATTGCTTGAGGATTTTGGTTCAACAGAAATATATATTAAAATCAACAACAACAACAACATCAGCAACAAAAACAAGCAAACAAGCATGATGGGACCTGTAAACAAATATTTTGTTGAGCAACCCTTTGAGCCAATCGCTGCAATCAAGTGTTGTCTGTAGCTCTCAATCAGACTTCTGCACCTGTTGACAGGTATTTGGATTTCACTGCTCATCAGCAAAGTGCTCTCATTTGTCCGGGACAGTTTTTTGTTTTTTTTAATTATTTTTTTTAGCCACAATTCAAAAGCAATGTCTTATTTCACTAAACTATAATTTATCAAATTTTTATTTATTATTACTTTTTCCAGTTTCTAGTTATTTGAGTGACTATTGTGCCTTTATTTTTCCTTTTCTTTAATGTAAGGGTATGAATACATTTGAGGACGACTGTAGATTACATTATTTTTAGAAATAATTTCGCAGTATCTGGCTTTTTATAGCAAGCAAGGCCAATAAGGACCTTGTCCTGCTGTGATGTGTTCATTGCCTTTCAAATGTACCAGCCCTTATAACTTGTATGTCTGCTCTACCTTATTATAGACATTGAACCACTCAGGATGATGATCCATCTTCTCTGCTTGTAAAGCCACTCTGGACATGAAACCAAATGCCTGAAAAAAAGATATAATACAGTCATGTATATATATAGTATATAATGCACAGGGTTGTGTGAGGTAAGTGTAATAATAATATGTAAAAACCTGATTGAAGTCTTTAAAAATGAACTCTTTGTAAATGGCGTCCCGTCCCACAACCTCCACCCACTGAGCGCTGCGCAGCAGAGGGAGTAGATGGGCCCTCTCCTCTTCAGTCAGACCCTGGATCTTACCAGCCTGGGAGGACAGAGCAGAGGTAACTGAGCAACACATTGGAGAGGGGCAGCTTCACAAACACAAACTGTGATTGGCTGCACAGGATCTCATCTGGAAACAATCAGAGGCTGCATTCCCGGTTTAAAAAACTAGCTGGTTCAAAGGTTTATGGTGCTGGGAGGGGGGGTGGTGGTGCTCCCTTTCGGTCACTCGCCTCCTAATCGTGACACATGATGCAGGGTCACATGGATTTAAACTCAGTGAGGCCGGTTTCATTCAGCCCCAGTGATGAATCCAAACTGCACCGTCAACATCTAACAATAATTACACACGATTTTATTGCCCAATCCAGAGGCGACATTTGAAGGCTCCGTCCCCAGATGAGCAGTCATGCTTGTAAGCCAGCAGAGCAAACAGATGTCATGACCACTGCCTGAAGCAGAACAATGACATCAACAGGTATCATAGCAACGCTCTAATCTGCTCTATCTGTGCAGTGAAAGGGCAGCACACACACACACAGCTCCCTCTGGTTTAAACCTCGTGTGCTCAACAAACACAGCGCTTGGATGCAAACACAGAGACACAGGAAGGGGCGCTTATGTTCTATTTCTGCTAAATCCTTCTGGCACACACGACAATTTGTGTTGTTTATCCATCTGAACACCTTCATGTGTTAGTCTATAACAAAACACAATTTAGTGGAGTCTTAGAGTACGAGAGTGAGCAAATATCAACAGGTGTGTGAGGCGGTAGGCAGACCTGACATACACCATAGAGAGGTTGTGTACTCACCATGTTTGCAGAATGTTTTCATGCACAAGGGGGAGGTTCAGCTCCAGTTCCCTGCTGCACAGAGGCAAATCTACTGTGGCAGCCAGTGAGAGCAACTGGAATGAGTCCATTCACTGTGGGTCCTGCCTGGCTGCCCCAGCACAAGCCTGAGCAGAAATCCCCTCTGCTGATAGGCTGTGCAGCCACTTGTCAGCACGGGTTTAATCATAAACTGTCATCTGTTGCACAAGGCATGCTTGAAGCCAGCTATGGATTCAACACAAAGGCCGGTGTTTACTTTGTGATGACAGAGGGAGGATACTGTCCCTTTTATACACCCCCTAGTAATCTCTTTTATATAGTTCAGAACAATAATCTACTCTACATTATAGTCTCCGTTCAGTAGGACAGCAGGTTTTAAAGGACTGTCTGTTCCTCAGCTGACTGGAGTTCATGTCAAAGGTTAATAAGCTGCTCCTGTGAGATTGTCCCGCTGAAGTCATCTGTCACGGCGAGTGCTCAGGGAAATGAAGTGGTTAATGAAATGAAAACAGGAAGAGGATGTGACAAGTGATCAGCTTTTAACAGTCAATTGGATGTGGAAATGAGAACGCTGCTGCTTTAGTGTTTTAAATTAAAACAAGCTGAAAACCATTTGATTGGAGTCAGACTTCCGCACTAATACACCTTACATACACCTGTATCTAGTCCTATAACCTTTTTAAACTTATTAACTGTTACCAATTGCTTGTTCTCCACAAATTACAACAGCACTTGGTGAATGTTTTTGCCCCTTATGTTCCCCAACAAACGCATCACACACCAGTAAAAAGAAACCACCAGCCACCGTGCACGCTGCCCTTTGACCACTTTTTATATTGTTGTCAGAGTTATAAAGATGAGCAGTAGAAGAGACGGTTTTCAAGAAGCAACATGAAGTCCTGGAGACTGCTACATGCAAGTTTAACTTTGTTAATCCTTGTTGCCAGAAGCTGTGGAGGACACATCAAACATGGTGAGGAGCATAATTCATTTGTGGCGGATGATGATGGTTCTGGTGGCCAGGCTTAAATAACCACATTAGCTGCAGTTTGACCCAGAAATCCATTGATGATCACTTGTTATGTAGCTTTATTGTCACAATCAGTGTTTGCTCTCTGAAATTCAAGTCAAAACTCGCTTATAACAAACAGACACGTCAGATGTGACAATTTTCTAATACTGTTGAGTCGGTGTTATGACAGTGATCTGATACACCCTTCTGTTATCGTGTGTTTATGATGTAGAAGAAGATTTACGAAACAGCTTTTTATCAGTGCTGTTTTGAATGTGTGCAGGGCCGGCTCTGAAAATGGATCAAGCTTTGCTCAAATTTGTTAACCAGTTGACAGAAGAGGTGCAGGTTTTCTACACATCAGATTACTGCTACAAGGTAAAGAACATCCACTGTCTCTTCAGATTTATTCAACAGCATCAGCAGTTGCAAAATCAATACAGTTCCCCCAAAAAAGACGTATATTTAGGTGAATGTGTCGGTCTAGAGAGATCTTATCTGTATTTTTCACACAAGCCTTTTGGTACGTGTCGTCAAAGCGCCCTCATCACCTTTGTCTTTGTTTTCTATCCTAGTGTTGGAGTTTATTAAGTTAGCATTTGACCTGTTTCTTCTTGTCAGTGTGTCTACCAGCATTTGGCCACTGTGAAACCCAGCAACAACAATGCATCTGCGATTATCAGCACCAAATTCACTCTGACTGTGCAAGTGATATCACAGTCGATGAATGTAACTCTCTGCAGGTAATAATTTTCATCTTCAAACAAAGCATCCGCATCAAACCAGCTGTTAGCATCACCTGTAATTCACTGATTTGTTTATTAAGTGTGCCTGTGGAAGTGCATCGCTCTTGTCCTCAGACATAATATAGTGTGGTGGCATCCGATGATTGCGTCAGCAGTCTGTGAGATTATTTACAGAGCTGGGGGAGTAATCCTGACCTGCTTTCTGGACCTGAGTGATGCCCTCCCTTAAACCACCTCGCCGGGTATCGATCAGGAGCCTTTTTGGGGTTAATAAGACCTGACATTCCAATATTGATGAAAAGGGCTCATTAAAGCCTGAGAGCCACATGTCCAGCGGAAGCGTCAGCGGAGATGTTAATCGGAGGAGACACTAACCATATTCATAAACAGTCAGGACTGACAGCACACTGGGGCAGAGCTTTCCATTTAAGGGTCACCTGTGTACATGGCAGCAGGGATTTCTTTGCAACATGACAAGCCTCTGTTGCTTTTTTCTGCTCCCTCAGAGGTCTGATCTTCTTGAATCAATGCTGAGGTCTCTAACCAGACTGTGCTGCTATTGATTTCCTTTTCCCCTTTGAAAAAACACTCCAAGTGATAGCTAGTATGTCATCCCAACAGGATCAATATGAGAGCGTAATGCATGTTTTTTGGGCCTGAAACTGGAGCTGGTAAGTGGACAGGAGGATGCATTTCAAGCCTGCAGACACTAGGTGGTGCTCCTGAGCTTTAAAAATAGAAGAACATATGGACACTTTTAGTTTTCCTGTCAGGTCATAAGGAAATATTGCTCAGCAGCGCATCAAATAAAAGCTTTTAAGGGAAGTGTGTCTGAATATTGTTGTGTTGTGGATGCAGGTGGAGTCAGACATACGAGGAAGGTGGTCATTACTCTGTTTGGATCCACGTGTCAGAGGTCGGCAGTAATCCAAGCTGCACTCCAGCTGTGGATAAAACACCAAACAGTCAATATCTGCGTGAGTGCACAACAAACACTGCTGCAAAGATGAAATTTAGATTCATATGTTTCACTAATCAACTGAGACTCTGCTTGATTGCCTTGCTGAGACACAGTGACAGTAGAGGAACCTGTGGCCACACTCAGGCCAAGTCTTTGATCCATTTTCTACCTAATTGAGTCAGCAAAGAGGAGAATCACTTCTCTTGTCCACATTCACTGAGCAGTAATTCTCATCCATCTCTTGGGACATGATGTGTATTGATCAAATAAGACATGCTTTCTTGAAAAGGGGATAAAAGAAAAGCTTTTCTGCTTGTTTTGAAGGCCTGGCTCTGCTGCGAGGAGGATTGTGGGTAATACATTAGGGAGTGTGGAAGGATTAGGGCGTAATGGGATTTTGAAAGCGTCTCTCTCCATAATGTACACTCTACTTAACAATATTGCAGATTATGTTGTAGATCAGACTTTTAAGGCCAAGTAGCCATTATCCGTTATGGTCAGTGTGACTGCACCTCTCACAGTATGATGAGCTTCCATTAGCTTCACAGACCGGTGATTATACAAACTCCCCATAGGACTTGCTCAACTTAAGTAATGGTCTGGTCAGCAGCTCATGACAGGTAAGAGTTGCCCTGCTAGGGAATTTCAAAGTTTACTTCAGCGTCTGAGATTGATCGGCCGCAGGGCTTCATGAGGTCATTTGTTGGGCGCGGTATTTCTTCAAGCATATGTTTCTGTGCAGGATGCTATCAGATGCACCCTTTAATCACGTTAGTACTGTATTTTGCATTGCACCACAGACCACAAGTCACCTGCTGGGTCCTCTAATTCTAACAAACAAATCCACAGTATTGACTGCTATTAAGTGTTTGTTTGACTTTGCAAAATATATCAGTGAACTGAACTTAATTTAGTTGTTCCTAATGCCTCAATTCATTTCCTATTCATTCTGACAGTAACTAATAAAGTGAGCGTGGCTGTGGCAGGAGTCTGGTGTTGTTTCACTTCATGCGCTGAGAGCTTTATGGTGTTTTTACGAGTGGACACCAGAGATGCCATGACTTTTCTGAGGCGATTAAGTGATCGCTCTTTGTTCAGAGTGGATGTCCTATTGTGGGTTGAGCTCTGGTTAAAATGGCTTCTTTTTGTTTGCTTTTCCACTAAAGACAAATTGCACGTACTGCCCTCTTGTGCTCTGTGCTTTGACGCAAGAGGAAGATACTGATCCCTCCTGAGCCTGTGTGTTATAGTTTTCTAATCAGTAGCTGTAAAATGTCTCACTGATTAAAGTCTGCTGATGATGGGTGAGCAGTAATATATCAAACTAAAAAGAAAGTGGCATTTAAGCAATATTTTATGTGGCACTTAACATTTCCATTTGTATCTATAATGAAGCTTTAAGTTAAACCCCAATCCTTGGTCTTTAATCTTGGAAAACTCTATTTTTTTGCAAATAGGGTCCATCCAGTCCAGTGTTTGTGCCCTCTTGTACTGTAAACCTCATCTTGACCCTTCTTCCATCTGCGATGCCCTCTGGCAGTCAGACTCTTTGTTTTCTCATCCATGTTCCAGTGTAGCCTTACAATTTCCTTTTCCGACGCCTGCAGGGTTAGATTACCCTGGGTGATTACTCCTTGATGGATCGACCAAGATGTTTCCATTAGGTTCTTGTTTGTCACTTGAGGGATCCCCTTTGACACTGGTTGACTGACAGAAAGCCTCAGGGGAGTCCAGAGGCGAGTAAAACAGACAGCTTGGACTGGCCAGTCAGTCATTTTATCTCCACTCAGATCCTTTTCTGATAGACATGTACAGTACAAAGCTGACGTCCAGACAGGAAGACTGTGATGTAGAGCTCTACACTCTGAATACGCAATTTCCATTTGTAAACATATCCTTTTCTTATTTTTCCAGCTCTTGTGGCGGCAGCTCTCCTCCTGGCCATAATCGCTCTCTTATTCGTTTTGATACCCTACATCTTCAGGTACACGTATGGTTTCTACATCACCCAATAGAAAAACACTCACTCCGCACTGATGACTCTTCCATCACAAGCAGGCAGCTCAAACTTGTTCCTCTTACAGGAGGCGTTGTACATCAAAATTTATTAGGACCATTTGCTGCCAAGGCTCAAGCTACTCAGTGGATAATGTAAGTCAACTGCTGCCTCTAATGAATGCATTAGATTAATATCCTAATAAATGGAAGTAAATGACACAAATGTGTGATTTGATTGATTAGATGTAGATCAATCATAAACCAATCAAAGGATTTCCATGAAATGATCATCAGTCATGATGAATTTCAGCATTAAACCAACAATGTAGAGAATAAGTGAAATATCTGGAGATTTGTGTCTGTTTTTTAAATATGTTCTTGTTTGAACTTACTTGCTGCTGTTCTTGACATTGAAGTATTCAGAGAAACAAAATGTAAAGTCATTGCACAATCTTTTTTTCTTTTCAGGAGAAATCCATTGACTTTATGCTATAAAAAAAAATCAAACATTGTTTGATCCAACAGTTACATTGAATTATTTTCATTGGCCAACTATGCAGCCTGAGATGCATACCAAAATTGCTCTGAGACTCCAGTCATCAAGCCATTTGGGAGACACTAATGGAATGATTGATACAAATGTTAGCAGAGCCAGTTGTACAGCAGACTTACATGGAAGCGATAGAGCGGCGTAGCCGTTCAATCGTCTTGCTTCATGGCAGGAGCTGCTGTGTATTTTCGGTGAGCATGAATAGCTCCTCTCATTCTTCTAAGCAAGATGTCTCTGGCTTCCATATGCTGTCTGGATGGCATGCAGATCCATCATGACATATTACTGCTGGTGTCTTCCTGCTCTGGCTCTTTAAACTGCTGCACTGAGGCCAACAAGTCAGGCTAATCCAAATGAGAGGGCAGCAGGCCAGAGTCATCGAAATGCTGCCCTCACAGAGAGACGGAAAGAGACTCCGGACAGAGAGATTCTCAACATGATTTTGAAGATTTTTGACCCATGTGGCATTTTTCAACCATTTGTTTCATCAATATTTTTACATCTGAGAACAACTGTAGTCATGTAAAATATTTTAAAAATTAGCTGCAAAAAGATGATTTGTGATATGTGATGTCATTTGATGGGTTTCTAACCGTGCCCTCTGTCCTCCACTTTCTTTTAGAGGGCACCTAATGTAGTACTGCCACTTCAAGAGAGAAAGAACTTTAATTGTAATCATAATTAATCACTGCTTTAGAAGAGGGTACTTTTACATTTAACGCCAATTAGAAGAACTTGCCGGCTAATAACTTAAAGTTCTTGTAATCAGCACTTTGTTTTTAGGGAATTAAAGCACAGGGAGAGAATGTTAAGACATTACATAAATAGAATTTGAAACTGCTCTACTCAATAAAGTTATTGTAAACTTAAATCAAATGACCACATGCAACATGACCGGGCTCACTCATGATGACGAACCTACATCGAATTTTCCCCCAACTCCATCAGCTTTATTGAGTATTTGAGTCTCTTTCAGCTGATTGTTTTTGTTTTATCATGCACAGTAGATTGGCATTTATGCATTCCTCACTCTAATGCTAACCAGGTGCACTCCTGCTTTTAATGCCTGCAAGGTCACACATTTTGGATTGCATGTGGACATCTGCGGGGGGTGTGCACAAACGTTCATTTACTTGGGCAGACGACTATTTGCGTCACACGGACCCTTATGTACTCGCAAACACAGAAAGTAGAACACTTGCTTGACTCCTCCTAAAGCCTTAATTATACTCCCTTTTAGACTTGTAACCTAGTCCTTATACCACATACACATGTCTGCTTGGAGGACTCTGCTCCATAAATTTGTATCTGCATATTGCACATTACTGCCTTTGTAACCCAGTCAATGAAGTAGTCAAAGTTTTAGGTTGGACAAGGAAATGTGCAAAAAGGGCTCGTGTTGAGCATTGCACACTTGCAGATGTGGAACGTATAACACCAGCCTAACTCCCGGCTCGTCCAAAAATGAGTAAAGAGATGAAGCTTGAGTGGAGCTGAGGTGGTCCATGGACTGTCCTAAGATGACACTCATCTGTCACTCACCCCTTTAAATGAGCATAATGTAGGCATTATACAATTAATCAGGTGAATCATATAAAAATGTACACCTGTAGAGTTGCTGTGAGTGGGAACATTAGCTATAGAGACCAAAGCTGTTTTTTTTGGACCAGGCTGAAAACATATTTAGTTCTGCTGTAAAGCTGACCATTTTAACACAGGGCTCTATTGGGATTGGCTGAGTTTTGGAGTCAGCCTCAAGTGGCCATTCAAATACTGCAATTTCATTTTTCTGTTCTGGAGATTAGTTTACACTTTGTTTTCTTGCCTCTGATGAACTATATGTCAAGTAACCCCTAAACCTAACAGTGCAACAACACAGAGAAATACAAGTCTGAAGATGAATCATGGATTTAGTGTATTCATACAATAGCCAATGAAAGTGAACTAACAAGTGTTGCTACTTTTCTGAAAACCTTGAATGACCCACATTGGTGATCCGGTGCTGACATTATTTTATCTCTCCTCTGTTGTTTCTGCAGGACATTGCACTTGCTTCTGAAACGGCGCACAATACCAGTAAAGCTAAACCACCGCGTCTGCTCTCCCTGGACGCTTTCCGAGGGTATGTGTGCCATCAACAACCATCCTGTTTATCGGTCTATCACCACATGCTGCTCGTTCACATGCTAATTCTTTTTAGAGCAGTCTGAGGCATGATGAAGATCTACAGGCCCGGCATAATGAATAATAACAGGGGTCACAGTCTGGCCACATGCTTCCCCAAGCTTTTGTTATCAGGCGGTATAGCTTTGGGCATGATTTCTGATATCAGTGCGTCTCGGGTTTGGAACAGTGTGTTTCTGTTGGACAGGAGTGATGCATGTGATTGAATCTGGGCTCCCTGCTAGCCTTAATTGTGGCCTGGGGGTAGACACAAAGCACGCCTCTCTGGAAACAGGATGCTGGTGTGGCTTTGACCTCCCCCTTGCCAAATAATTGATGTAATAATACCGTCAACATATCAGCACACATCCACACGGCCATAGATCTCCTGCCAAACTGGAGAGCGAGAGGAAATCCAGCAGCACACAGACAGCATCCAGCAGACGATTGGCATCTTCTCCATCTGTGGCTTCCTTTTGGATGAAAAACCATCTGAAACCACAAGCATATGTGCTGAATTCAAAATACTACATAGCTTTATTTTGTTTGGGGGCTGAAGTGGTCGAGTGCATTTTCACCAGAATCTGCAAAAGGTTCAAGGAAAGGATACGTTTAGATTAAATTTCCCTTTATTCACACTTGCTGCCGCAGTCCTGTTCAATCTTGTTAGCTGAAATGTCACTTTAGGGTTACAGATACTTGTCGCATATTGACATCCTCATTGGTTATACTAGAAATTCTCATACCTGGCAACGCACTTAATCAAAGTGTGACTCAGTGCTGAAGATTAACGCTGCGTGTGCCTCCTCAGCCGGCTGACTTATGATCCATACCCCTGATAAGTAACAACTTTCTACAGAGAACAGACACATCAGTCATCTGCCATAAATGCTGAGATATTTCTGAAGGCAAAAGGCTTTTCTCCGCAGCTGAAAGGTTTTTCTGATCATTGCTCAGGCTCTACTGACATGATATACAGAGAACTGTGGAGTACGGTTGCACGTTAATTTTTCTAAAAGGATTTGGATTTTAATCTTGTGCCGCACTGCTAAAAGCCTTTCGCCAGTTTCCTCACTGTTGAAAATCGCACTGTCAGTAGTTAGCAGTGCCATACAACAGACGGAACAACTATTACAGCAAAACCAAGGATTGTGAGTTGCATTTAACACCAGGTGGCTGACTCATTCTGTGCCTTATTTTGACTAAGATCCAAGTTCTCCTCCGATTCTGTTTCATACATGCTCTGAAGTTTGCCCCCCCCTCAAACAAGAACCTTGGCATTTCAACTCAAGTTGTAATTTATTATGACTACAATAGGTGTCTGTGTACTTGATGTGACCAGCACAGTAGGTAACATGATACTGCGCAGTGATGGAGTGTAACTATCCATTTGTAATGGGGAGAAGTACTAAGCTGATGCTCTAATTGGTAATGCATGTACCATGATTCAAATCAAAGAAGTCCATAAGAGTCTATCAGTGAGTCATAACCAGTTGTCACTGCTGGAAGAAAGATACGTCGCTCTGTAATCTGTTAGCTATAAATCCTCCATACTGATTCCCAGACATGAATTAAGTCTATTACTGAAGTGACAAATGGTCAGCGGAGAGCTTCACAGGGATATTAACAACTTAAACTTGATTAGGAACCAAGAAAAAAAAACAGTCTGCAGCGCTCCAACCTGGACATTATATTAACTTTGATGCAACACAAAACAAACACTTCTCACTATAAATCCTATTAATTAAGCACTCACAGCTTCCCTTGATCATCATTAGCTGCCTGTGTTGTCACATGTGTGTGGCATTTGTAATGTAATGGAGCTCTCAGCACACAGCGGGGTGGTTTAATTAAAAAGATGGCCAATAAGCCGTGATATTGCAGTGATTTTCGCAGGGTCTCATCTGGCTAGAGATTTAACCTTTGTCTTTGTCACTATGGCAACTAATGGATATGTTCGTCAAAATTTAAATGATAGCCTGTGTGTGTGTGTGTGTGTGTGTGTGAGAGAGAGAGAGAGAGAGAGAGAGAGAGAGAGAGAGAGAGCACACGGACACATGCAGCAGGGTTTACTCTGCTTTAATAGCCCTTTTGAGATGATAGTGACCGATTAAAATCTTGTATCAGCAGGTTGGGGCTAAAAGAGCAGTAATGGCTCTGGTGCACCTCTTAATTGAATCTGGGCAGAAAAACAAGAGGAGGCAGAGGTAGATACAGTGCAGCTTATCAGACGGGCTCGTTCTTAGAGGTTGTCCTAATCTCGTTACGACTCCTAAAGACCCCCTTATGATTTAAAAAAAAAAAAAAAAAAGCAAAATTAAATAACACATGAAAGCATAAATTCATGTGTTTCTCACGGTGAGAGGATTGAGCTCGGAGCAAGCTTCCGCTGCGTCTCCGCCACTTACATTCCTCCGCAAGTTTGTGTTGTGTAATGGCCCCCCGCCCCATTTTCTGACATGCAACGCAAACACCTTTTTTCCCTCCAGTGTCTGATTCACTGAAGCACTCCATCACGTGTGCTGTGTTTCAGCAGCCTTGGCCGGTGCTAAAGTATAAAGTGTATCATATATTAGGCACAAAGTCTTTAGTCAGCACTCCTGCTTGAGGAGATCCAGAGGACAAGTGTTCATTTCCTGAGTGATTCATAATGCTTAGATTGCATTACCTTGCATTTGGAGTGTGACAGAATATAAAGCCCCTCCTCTGGCCTCTTTAACTTTAATTCAGAAGTTAATATTCAATCACAATCAAAGCGCCACAGCTGAAGGCTAAGAAATCTTTATTTTATCATGGATTTCACGTTTTTATTATGTTTTTTATCGACTACTAACCAGTTTCAGACGTTTCATTCATTATACTTGCACCTGATGTTTAATCCTATTTTTGCTGATTTACGTAACGTCTTTGCAGGTTTGCCCTGACGGTGATGGTGTTTGTGAACTACGGTGGAGGAGGCTACTCCTTCTTTCAACATGCACCATGGAATGGTTAAGTAAAGAACACATTATACATCAATTTACAAAATGAAACCAAAAAGAGAGAGTAGCCTGCATGCACAACATGCACATCGTTGCATAAAGACTGATATGCACTGACTCCATCAACTCAACGGCAGCGTTCTCATCATGTCTGCATCATTTCCTGACCTGTTGTCACTAATTATGATAAATGCTGTGTCAAAAAAACCCTGCACACACACACAGGGTGCCATTCTTCATACAAGCCAAATGAAAGATACGATCCATAGATGTTTATTGTTTTTAACAACCAGGGAGGAGATGAGGAGGAGGAGGGATGAGTGTTTAGATGACAGCTGGGAGAAGATGGGAGGAGGCATGAAATGAGCAACACTCCTCTGTAGTCAAGCCCAGAGTTGAGGTGCTCATGAGCAAGGCACCTCTGACTGAAGGAGACAGTTGCTGTGTGAATTCACTGTCAGTCTGTAAACATTAAAAAAATAAAAATGCAAATATGATAGTGTGGTTTTCATGAAGTGCATGTCACTGTTTATGGGTGTTCTCAATTTAAACTTTGTAATAGCCTCTTTGCCACATGTACACGGGTGTATTGATTGCAGAGGTGGATTGATTAATCTTCTCTTGGCCGCGGGGCTGCTGCTGTCACAGGAGGGTAGATATTTATTAATCACGCCTTTTCGAAATGGAAAGTTAATGACAGAAGCAGCACTTTAAGGACGTAACATTGTTCTTAATTCACCTTCGTGTCTCTGTGGATTGCCGGGAGTACAGGAGGGCAAGAACTGTGAACGCTGCATCAAACTCAACTATGTGTGGGTCTACTGATGTTCATTTACAGTGTGTTTCTGAATGTGTTGCAGGTCTAACTGTGGCAGATCTTGTCATGCCATGGTAGGTTTGTTACAAGAGGACTTTCTGATGTTTTCACTCTTATATTAACTTACACGAATGTGCACATTTTTGTGCATATGGGTCTGAATAACATAACACTGTTGTGTCTTCCAGGTTTGTGTTCATAATTGGGACTTCAGTGGTTTTGGCTTTCAGCTCCATGCAGAGGAAAGGAGTCAGCCGCCTGCAGCTGCTGCAAAAAATCACCTGGAGAACAGTCGTCCTGCTGATGCTCGGCTTCTGCTTCCTCAACTACTCTCCAAAAGACGGACCACGTAGGTGCAAAACATCCAGCAGCATGACATCAATGGGGCAGAAACACTGTGTATTCTAATGTTTTTGTTCTGGACTTTTTTTTTTGTTCTAAATTGGGGAATTGCAAAACTCAGACTCTAACATGTCTGATAATAGGTCCACTTACTATATGTAGTACAGCAAATTAATAGCACCAGAGGAGAAGAGATGTTTATTGTGATGATGCACCTGCTGATGTGCAGAATTAAGCTTGGTGTTGAGCAGCATTCTGTATTTGAGTCATTGCTGCAACAGTTAACTGATTTATGATTTTTTTTTTTTTAGTAAAAATCCCAAATGTGATGATTCTAGCTTCTCAAATGTGACAAAGTGCTACTTTTCTAATAGCAAACTGAATATCTTTGGTCTGTGCCAACATGTTAAATGGGTTGATCTCCAGATTTGTGATAAAAGCCAAGCCTCCAGAGCTGGGTCAGGGTTAAAGGAGGGGGAAAAAATGGAGAAAATCCCTATTTCACCGTCCACCCGGGATACACAGGGCGCCCCTCACACATTAGCTATCGGTGGTGCTAATGGACTTTCCTGGGTGGATGTCTGCATAACTGGGTTAACAAAAATATTGTTGTTGTGTGTGCAGTCTCAAAATCCAGCACCAGGGGACGTTTAACAGAGGCAGATTGGGTAAAAACAACCGCTGTGTGGTAATGGGCAATTACAAACAGATAGAGTTACACCCTTCAGCTCCGTGCAGCTGCTGTAGACTCTGCTGCTGGAGCTGATCATAACAGCACAGTGACTTTTACCATAAACTGCAGCTTTGCCCTCCGTCTCCAAGGACGTCCTCAGCAGTTCAGTCCCAGGGTTTGATCTAATAAGAGAATGGAGTCATATCAGCTCAATATGTTAAACCCTTTCAATGTCAGATGAGACAGAAGAAGGTGTTAACCTTTAACATTAGCTATGAGTCATTTCAAATAAATCCTGCTGTGTCCAGATGTCCAAATAATGGCTAAAGCAATGTCAAACCAACCCTTTAAAATGCCTTTTTTAAAATTTAATTTTTCTTTGAAACTCTTACAGTCTCTCTTTTTGGTTTACAAAATTAGGAAGCAGTTGATTTAATGATTACATGACGTAATTTCAGATTGAATTTGTTAAACACATGGTAGTGAAGCCACATGGCTTTGAGTTCTAGCTTTTGAATCCTAGACCCGGCATTTTTGACATACAAAATATGACTTTGCTGAAGGAGACAGCACGTTTTCAAGATTTCATGTTCGACCGTTTGACAGTGTTTCATTTTTGATGGATGGTGAAGGGTAGCAAGAAAAGATAAATCAGATCTAAGTCAGAAAGTCTGGTCCAAACCTCCGCTGCCTACTGTAGACGTTTGGAAAAAAAATAAGTTTTTGCCTGACTAGTTTGCTCTACTTTCTAGAAGCATTTTCAGTTCTGCTGACTTTCAGTATTACTGCATTTAATCTATCACTGAAAGTGCTCAGAGATTGGAAGCAGACAGCAAAAGTTTTCAGTGAAATACTATTGAATGTCAAAAACAGTGTCAATTTCACCCACAAAAAAATAAAATAAAAACTGCAGAAATTGGATAAAAAGTGAAGCTCAGGGTGGTACAGTTCACCTTAAGGCTGCAGTTAAGTGACAGTTTTGTGGGGGACAAAAACAGTAAATTATCTTCGAGGGGGTGTAACATGCATATTTAACTGGAGTGTCATTAGTCAGAGCTTCCTCTTTTCCTGTGAAAGGAGAGATTTCCGCCTCTTATTTGATTTGTCCGGATCAATGATTGGGATCATATTGTTTTTTACGGCACTTTGTACGGCAAAGAGGTTTTCAATTAACTAATGTGTAGATTACCATCAATCCCTCAACCAGCAGCCAATCCTAGCCTTCCTAATTTGTGGAGACCGAGAGATAACTGGGAATCTTTGATGAGCTTCCCACATTCCTGACAGGTCCACATCCTGAAGGCCGACACCATTTCTGTGGTCCTCACGCTGTCCATCACCCTCCTGCAGGAAATAGTAACCGCTGTAGTGGCAGTGGGATGATTAAGAAGATTCCTGATGGGTTTTGCTTAAATCAGCAGAAATAGCTTTCAATCAG